TTTTATATTGAAATTGATTTTGTCCTGCAGTTTGTAGTATATCATAGGTGTACTGATTGAAATTTTCTAGTGGGTGTTTCATTTCTGGCAGGTGTAGCTAAGTGTTTAAATCTTTACTCACATCAAAGAACACCATAGTAGTGTTCTCATTAACTCGTTTTTAGGTTTTTTTTTTCACTTTTTAAACTTTGAAATCCATCTTTACCTAAAACCAGAAATGGGTAGGATGCTCAAGTCCCTCCGTCATGACCGTGCTCACTGAGAATGGTCGAATGCGGGTGATAGGCTATGATAACGCTCTCCGCTCCTAACCGCCTAGTGGCATTACTCTCGTACGGTTTTCTTATATGGTGAATTCAGTAGGTATGCTCGGCTTTCTTTTTTTTTTTTTGATTTTTTTCTGGTATGGTGAAAAATTGAAGACGTTTCTCGTCTTGTTCCCATTTTCAATGAGCTTTATTTGATTTCTTTCCTAGATCCGCTGGGTGAACAACGAGAAAGAATGAGACCCAAGATGTCATGGCAAATGAGGGCCGGACTCGTTTTGAACCGTTCTACCTGTATACCTACACTATACCCTTCACCTTGCATAAAACAATGTGTTTCTTGGTATATTCACCCAAGTTTTGAGAGAAAAATACGCTGTAAAAGGGAGATGAAAACACTATAAGCAGTTATTCCGAAGCGCCGAACCGTTGTTCCACACTGTTGTTCATTTTATGTGGTTGAAAGGATCCCTCGACGTTGTGGTTGGAATTTGGCAGCTTTAACTGTTGCGCTGTTTACATTCCATAACAGGTAGTGGTTACTGGAGAACTCGTCGGCTCACATGGCGTCATCGTGGAATCGCCACGTCCGGCTGTCCGTGTGTACGGTCAACAATTGGGCACTGGACTTCAAAGGTAATCTACAGCGGATTCTCAAAAGTGAGTCGACAACGGTTTTTTTTTNTAAACCTATTAGCTGACCAAATAGCTGAGAAAGAGTAGTCTTTTTACAGCTTGTGAAGATGCGTACAAGGAGGGTGCTCGATTAAGACTTGGTCCCGAACTTGAAATTTGTGGATATGGTTGTGCTGATCACCATTTTGAGATTGATACTGAGATTCACTCATGGGAAATGTTGAAGGAAATCGTGGACAAGTCGAAAAATGTCTGTGACACTTTGATATATATAATTTTGAATTCATATGTAATTTGCATTCTGTTCAGTGGCCAAATCTCTTGATAGTAACCGGAATGCCTGTTCGTCACAGAATGCTTCTGTACAACTGTCTTGTTTCTGTCATGAATGGGTAAGTCCTTCTATCGGTAATGGTATGACTATAATTGTGTTGCAGTTGAAGTGAATCTGCCTTATGTGAGGTAATGAGTTATCGCGAATCTAATAAAAAAATTTCTATTTTCACTCTTAAAGCATTCGCATTCCTGTTAATTAAACATACTCTGATTTACTCATTTTTCAGAATTCATTTCGCCTTTTCCATCTGTTTTTTTACTACTTTTTCATATTGTAAAGTAACGACAACTCAACAAACTTTTTCAACTAAATTTGATTGTTGAATACTTCTGAGAAGATAGTCCATGAAAGACTTTCCCTCGATTGCAGAAAAATTTTACTCATTCGTCCGAAATTGGTTCTATGTGACGATGACGTTTATCGAGAAAGTCGCTGGTTTGTGCGATGGTCCAAACCACTGACCACTGTTCCCTTCCAACTTGATGAAAGCATTGGTTTTGAGCAGGTGCGCTTCTTTGTTTGCAAATTTCTATTACCATAGTCAATTTGAGGAGTGAACTTGCAGAAAACAGTCCCATTTGGGGACGGCGTACTGTATTCAACTGACAATGTTACGATTGGATTTGAGATCTGTGAAGAACTTTGGGCGGCCCATTCGTATGTTCGATTTTCATATACCTTTGTGAACCACCGCGTAGATAAGCACACATTTCTTTGAAGGCGGCACATAGAATTAGGATTACGAGGTGTAGATATAGTATGTAATGGTAGTGGCAGCATCCATATCCTCGGAAAATCAAATTATCGCGTTAATCAGCTGATTCTTGGTGGAAGTGAAAAGGTTCGTTTTTCGCATGCTTTTACTTGGATTTCGTCGAAAGTCCCTTTTGTAGACTGGAGGTATTTACCTATTCAGCAATTATCGCGGTTGTGATGGTGACCGAGTTTACTACGATGGATCGTCAACGATAGCCCAAAACGGGAAACTGTACGCCCAAATTCACCAATTCGATATAGAAGATACCGTATGCTCCACTGTGCTCTGCTTATTACATTCACAGGCATGGTTTCAGAAATGATCTTGTTTCAGTGCGTTGCGACGGCAGTCTTGGATCTCAATGAAACAATTTCGGCTCGAAATAAGAAGTCCAGCAACTGTTATGAGGTACATAATAATCTTTTTCTATAATGTTCGCGGAAAGATCAGCTATTTTTTTAAAGACTCACAAAATTGGATGGAGTGATGGAAAGCAGCAATCTGGAATGCTTTCAGAGTTGCTTCTTCCATTTGATACCGTTAATGCAAGGCTATTAGTTCATCAATAACAATTTATTTTAGTCAGCTCTTCTTCCGGAATACGCGACAATTTCCTTCGATGGCAAGCTCACCTTAGACCAACCTGTGCAGTGTTTAACCAAGGAAATTACGAATGTGGAACGACTACAATTAGATCCTATCGAAGAACTTTGTCATGGACCTCCGGCTTGGTTGTGGCACTATTTAAGAAGAAGCAAAATGGTAACAAGATTTGCCTTCTTGCGTCATTTGTCGATCTTAAATCCTGTGTTCAGGGTGGATTTTTCTTGCCACTTTCTGGAGGACAGGACAGTTCCTCGGTAGCTGCTATGGTTCGCCTGATGTGCAACAAGGTTTGCGGGGCTGTCAAGCATAGAAGGCTCACAGATGGTGAATTTGTGTTACGTCTTCGTCGCGAATGCATGAATACTATTTGTCGGTGTCAGCATCGGTGTTACTCCAGTCTATGCTCTTCTACTGACTCACTTTTGTCTTAGGTGGAGACGATCCCGCTTACTATCTGAATGGACAGCGCGTAGGAGAAGACCCAGCTGAATTGTGTCATAAGGTTCGTTTCTTGACTTTCCGGGCTTTTTGGAGTGAATACGAAAAATAAAGTTTAGCTTTTCTTCACTTGTTACATGGCAAGTGAACACTCTTCTGCTCATACGAGAGCATGTGCAGATGGTTTGGCTAAGGACATAAACAGCAATCATTCAAGGTTTTAACTGCGAGTTCGCTATCCAACTTGTTATGCTTCTTGTCTTAATTGGTTTCTTTAAGCATGTTCATTGATTCGGTCATATCTGCTGCGTTGTCCGCCTTCAAACTCGCCATGGGCTTCATACCGAGTTTTAATGTGAGTTACTTTGTCTGTTTTCTCTTATTCCTGAATGATTATATGCAATTGCAGAGTAACGATTCCCGAGAAGGGTTAGCTTTGCAAAACCTGCAAGCTAGAATAAGAATGGTATTTGCTTACTTATTTGCGCAGTTATCTCTTATAGTAGAAGGGCGACCTGGAAGTCTTCTTGTATTAGGCTCATCTAATGTTGACGAACTGTGAGTTACAATACTCTCTTTCTATTCAACTCCAAGCTAAAGGTTGAATTGTTTCAGGCTTGTTGGTTATATGACAAAATATGATTGTTCTTCTGCTGATATAAATCCTATTGGATCAATAAGTAAAGTGGATTTGCGGAAGTTTTTGCTTAAAGTTTATAATGACTATGGGATGAAGTCACTAAAGGCGTCAGTTGCATAGTTTTAGTTGGTTTCCACGGCTATTTCGGTGCTTTCTCGATATAGCTCCTGCTAATATGTTTTGCAATTTTAGAGTCATTGATTCTGTACCAACTGCTGAACTGAGACCCCTCGTGGATGGTGCCATTGCGCAAACGGATGAAGTTCGTTTTGAGTAGTAGCTGTAGTTTGTCGACATAAATATAAATTGTTTAGGATGAGATAGGTCTCACTTACGATGAATTGTCGGTTATTGGACAATTGAGGCGTCCGCGCTGTTTGGGACCCTATGGAACATTCCTAGCCCTTTGTTCCATGTGGTATCCGAAGTATTCATATGAGGAGGTAGATGAATTTCTCGTATGAAGCGATTGTAGAACATTTAGGTTGCTTTAGATAGAGGCCAAGGTGAGGAACTTCTTCTGGCGTTATCGCGTCAACAGGCACAAGGCCACCGTAGCAACTCCATGTAAGTAGGTTTGATGTATTAAAAGAAGGGGCTTGAAAAATGGAATAGTAGATTTTCAGCTTATTATGCAAATTGGTATAGTCCGGATGATCATCGAAATGACCATCGACCATTTTTGTATCCTGACATGGAGCATCAGTTTGAGATGATAAGGAAAAAGGTGAGGGTTTTCATGCTTGTTGTCTTTAGCAGGAGCCTAGCTATTTATGTACGTGGCTGACTCCCTATCATTTCTTCATCTTTCGCTAGTTTTTTTT